CCCTTGCTTGAAAGCCAGTCGAATCCGACTCTAGGGTTGCGATGCTCATCTCCGTTTCAAAGCCGAAGAGCCAGCGCTGTCCGAAGACATTTCCATGGTCATGTGTCTGGCATGACTAAACACCAAGGTGCACACATTTAGGTGTGAATTAATTATACCTTTGGACGAATCTTCAAGGCAGCAGTTAAATACCAAGCTACAGATAGGGTAACAGCCCTATCTTGGCCAGATAGCAAATAATAATAAATGGTGATCATGTGAACATACTGGAAAGTGTGAAATCAATGGAGAAATAAAAGAAGATCTTATATACTTCTGTATAACTCACAACTGAATAAAAACTGGGTGTTTCTGTCCTCACGTTTCCACATGGGCAGACTCTCTGTTCAATCGGTCTATTTGAGAATCTGCCAAATAATTCATTAAAGGGTATGTCATTATGTCTGGCCAAGAAGAAATGTCTATGAAAGGTTGGAATAGTTAAGAATTTCAAATAGTCTGGAAGTACTGGAAAAGATGTCCCCAGAAAGAGGGTGCACATTTCCTTTTGGCATCAGTACATGACTTGAGGTGGTCCCTTCATTCTAAGTTGATATCTTATTCATAACTAGAGGAAGATCTGAAGGAAAACTTGGGTAGGGAATCCACAAGCTTAAGAGTCAAGCTCAGTCCATTTAAAAGAACAGGAAGAAAAAATCCTGGTCTAGTAGAAAGAAGTCTGAATTTCACCATGGCTTTCCGTGCTAACAAGAAAATGGAACCAAGACCAGCCTCTAAATAGAAGTTGGAATCTGAAATACAATTAGGCACTTGAAAAATAGCACAGAGAAATTCCATTTATTATTTATTATATTCAATTTATATACTGCCCATTCCCTAAATAGGGCTCAGGGCGGTGTACAACAGACACTAAAACCACAAACACTAGACAACAATTTAAAAATAAACATTCCAGTAAAATTCATAACAGCAATACAGTTCAAACAGATGGCAGTTAAATTCCAGTTGTGCTACCACCTTGCCGGCGGGGGAGAGTGCCAGCCAGTTAGAAGCCATCGCTGTCTTCAACCAAACGCCTGGCAGAACATCTCTGCCTTACAGGCCCTGCCGAACTGTCACAAGTCCCTCAGGGCATGGATGTTACTCCACAGAGTTTCACCAGGTTGGGGCCAGGGCACTAAAAGCTCCTTGGAGGGGGGGTGGTATAAAAATATACCAAAGAAATAAAATGAGAAATTTATTAGTTCTTCAATAACTTTTCTACCATGAGTTGCCATTTCTTCACTTTCTTAATGTACGTATTGTATCAAACCAGAGATTTTATTGCATCATGTGAAGACTGAAGTAGAGTCACCAGTGGAAGTAGTGACCTGGTAGTGATGTCATCATGTTAGGTGATGATCTAGCATTCACTCAAAACTCTATGGTTAAACCATCAAGTGTAGCACCCCCAGTGCAATGACATCACTTCTGGTCACACTGGAAGTTGCATCATCACATCAGGTATGGCAGTCACACATCCCACAATGTAAGTCCCCACTTCCCCCATTTCTTACCAGTTGCCAGGCCTTGCCAGACAAATCTAAGAACATAAGAAAAGATATGTTGGATCATGCTAATGCCCAATCCATTCCAATGCTTTGTCTCACACAGTGGCCAAAAACCAGGCGCCCTCAGGGTCCACCAGC